CAGTTTATTAATTTTTTTAGTTTGAATGGGTCAATTATAGACGATCTGTTTCTTATATCTTTACCGGTTAGAATTAGAAGGTAGGCTTAGGTCCACTCACCTAATATGCAAATCAAGAGTATCAAGTTTATAATATATATTGGCAATGTATGGTAAACAACCTGTGTTAGTTGGTGCGTGTTTAGTAACACTAAATTGAAATGGGGTGTTTGACAAACGGTTGATAGCTGATTAGTTTAGCTAGTAGTTGATGGCTGATTGCGCTAGTTGGTTTGACCAGTTGGTTGTATTAGCTGGTTAGAAAAAACTGTAGCTGATTGAATGTAAAATGACATTTAAATTCCCTTCCCACTTAATTCCCACATAATTCTAAAGGCCACAAAATTTCCTTGTTTGGTTGGATGGAATTGCAATTCCCCTATTTTCATGGAATTAAAATCCCATGTCCCCCCCCCCCCCCCCCCCCCCGGTATTTTAATTCCTGGGAAAAAAAGAAAAAAAGATAGTGATGACTCAAAATTACCCCTTCCTTTTTTAACCTAAAATTAATGTCTAACAATAATAATTGACATTTTTGACTTTATACTACTTATTCCTTTTCAATTCCCATGTATACCAAACACTGGAATTAAAATTCCTAGTAATTCTATTCCTGTAAACCAAACACTGGAATTTAAATTCCTACTTTATTCCCAGTAATTCATCTCCCATGGAATTGCAATTCCCTTCCCACATAATTCCCCATCTCCAACCAAACGCCCTGTTAAGGGTATGAGTATATTCTGTTATTTTAACATTTAAATATAACAAGACGATAAACTCTTATTGATAAATAATTATAAAATTTGGGCTGCATTTATATTTTTTTTAAGGACATAAGTTAATTATTTGTGTTTATTTAACTCTTATTAAATTATATATTCTAAATAATTTTTATTTCTTATTTTCAATTTTAATAATTTAAAATGATTTACTATAATAATAATAATAATAATAATATTATTATTATTATTATTATTGTTGTTGTTGTTGTTGTTGTTGTTGTTGTAGTCGTCGTCGTCAAATGTCTAAACTACGGCAATTTATATCCTGCACCAGGGACTAAATTGGAAGCAATTTATATCCTGCACCAAGGTCGTCAAATGTCTAAATTGGTAGTAATTAAACACGTGGATTAAAACTGTCATTTTACTAATACCTGTGGGATCCAAATCGATATTTGTTCTAAATAAATTATTATTATTATTATTATTATTATTATTATTATTATTATTATTAAAATATGCACATGTCCTTATATTATTTTTTTTATATGTTAGTTGCTAGGAAATAATAAACAACTAATTACTAATATGATCAAATACTTATCTATATAACTAATTTAATGCATTGATCAAAACATTCTTGACGATGATTTAAATAGTCATTGTCAAAGAAGAAGAGGAAGTAGCTTAAGTTAATGATATTAAAGTAATTTATGGAATGACATGTTATGCAATCATTATTGTGTGAACCATCTTTTGTATACTGTAAAATAATATATATTCAGTTCAAAAATAATGTACATTCAGTACAAAAATAATATACATTATATGCAAGGAATGTACATTATTTTTGTAAAAAGTGTATATTATATTATATAATGTACATTCAGTACAAAAATAATATACATTTAGTATACTAAAAATATATTTTTTGTTATGATTCACACAATACTATGTGGACCATAATTTGCCCATGAGTGTTTCAATTTAATCATGTCATAAACTTTAGAAAGTTACTCTTAAAACCCAGAAGATTGAGAAACTCTATAGTTTGACAAAAATAAATAAAGTAATACATTTCTAGTCCGTTTTGAATAAATGTCATTTTTAATCACTCGACTATAATATATGTATCAATTTTAGTCATTGATTATTAAAATTTTCAAATTAAGTGCATTACTATTTAATTTGTATCACATTTTGTCCTTAACTATTTCCAGTCAAATTTTCGACCAAGTCACATGTGACTGACTAATTTATTTAATTTTTATTTTAAATATTATTAAAATGATTTTTAAATTTAAAAACTTAAAAATAAGGTAAATAAATTAATTAAATTAAAAAAAAAAAACGCTGGCCATCCCCGCCCTCCTCCGTCTCCGCCGGAGACGAAAGAGGAGGGGGTGGCTGGCGTTCTCTTTCTCCCCTTCCACCTTCGTCTCTGCTGGAGATAAAGAGATCCCTCATTTCTTCCTTCGTCTCCGGCGAAGAATAGCCGGAGACGAAGGAGGAGTGGGTGGGGCTCCCTTCCTCCTTCGTCTCCGCAGACGATGGAAGAAGGGGGAAAGAGAACGTCGGCCACCCAGGGACGGAGTCAGGATTGAATAGTGCGGAGGCCAACTACAGTTGAAGACTTGAAATACTAAATCAAATACAATGATATCTAGTTAACATATTTCAAAATAATCATTACATTACGAATTTAATAAAGTTTAAAGAATAAATAAATCATAATTGAATTTCTATTAAATTATTTTGTAATATGCTTTTCAATGCACATTGCTTTGTACGGTTGAAAGAATGAAAACATTCACGCATGTTTTAAAATACTATTGATTATTTCTTGAAAACTACCATCTTCACAACATAACATAATTACAATTGTTTTCTCAAATACATATACTACAAAAATTTTACATTATTATGCATGTTAAATTAAATATATCACATAACCACAAATCTGCATAATTAACCAAAAAATGCACCGTGATATCATTATTTAGAATCAAACAAAACAACTATTTCAAATAAACAATAGAATATGAAACAAAAATTAACCAAACAAGTAGTTAGAAAAAAAAAAAAACCAAAAACAAAAAACAAAAATTAACTTGAAAAATATGCATAGATTTTAATAATAACAAAGTATCTTGTTATAGCGTATATGCCGCATATATGTATGGTTCTAGAGAGAGCAACTAATAGGTATGTTAAATAAGGTTTAATTTGAATATGAGTTAACAATATAAGGAAGACATAATTTGAAATATAAGAGAACTGCAAAAGTTGAGAAGATGAAGAAGTTTATAATTTAGTCTGTAAGATTAATTTAAGTGGGAGAGAGACCAAATATTTTAAAAGAATAATAAAATTTTAATATTCTATATAATATTCTTTTTTACAAAAGACTAATATTATATATAATATTAAAAAAATTAGGCCGGGCTGGGCGTGGGGGTGGGGGGACAAGGCCCCCTAAGGCATACACTTGCCTCCGTCACTGCGGCCACCACACCTCCCTCTTCCTTTGTCTTCGGCGGGGTGGGTGGAGGGGGGGAGGGAGGGGCCAAGGCACCCTAAGGCATACACTTGTCTCCGCCACTGCGGCCACCCCACCTCCCTCTTCCTTCTTCTCCGACTTTCGTCTCCGCGGGAGACGAAGGAGGAGGGGGGTGGGATGGTCGTTGTTTTTTTATTTTTATTTTTATTTTTAAAGTTTTTAATTTAAAATTTATTAAAATAAATTTTAAAAAAAAAATAAATTAACCGGTTACCGGTGATTTAGTTGGAAATTTGGTTGAAAAATTTAACGGCAGAACCAAATGTGATACAAATTGAATAGTCATGTACTTTATTTGAAAATGTTAATAGTCAAGGACCAAATGTGATACAAATTAAATATTCATGTACCTAATTTGAAAATTTTAATAGTCAAGGACTAAAATTGATACATATATTATAGTCGAGGGACTAAAAATAATATTTATTCATCCGTTTTAAACAAAGAATAACTTTAAAATAACTTGAATTTCTTTAATAAAATTAAAGTAATTTATTTCTATATAAGGTATGAATAAGATGTTGTATTCAAATAGTAGATTCAGATTCAATTTTCACGGGTTTCCAAAAAGAAAAATAAAAAATTCAATTTTCACTATTTTTATTTTACTGGGATTTCAATCCACCCCCAAAAGTTCGGCGATCATATCATACCTACGTGATTAGACGTAGCAATGTAGCTCCAAACAACAGACACGTCTAAACAATGGAGATTCAGCCCGACATAAACAAACAAGGTTGAATCACCAACCTGATCCTCACACCTCGATCAGACAGAGCATTTAGAAAAATATAAATTACTGTGATTCAATACTTTAGCAAACAGAGTCAAATGCCGATTAACACCTGTCAACCTCTCCAACACTTTGAACTTATGACGTATTTTGATATCAATTGTTTATGTTAACTTATTAAGTGCTTACTATAACGTCAAAAATTATAGTTAGTAGCGAAGGCGTATTAACGAGGTAGGTTTACTCGAGCTTTCCTCCTCGTCTTGGAGAAAAGTATTTCACGTAAGATAGATTTCAAATGTGCAATACTTTTTATTAAAAATGTAATACTACATATAAATTTAAGATACGATTCAATATAAAATCATGATCTCAGCTAAAATTTTGCTTAGGCAAAGAGTAATATTACTTAATGGCCCGTTTGGTATACTGTAATTTGGTTGCAACTGAATTGAAATTCAATGAACATGGTAAATTACACTGTTTGATTGGAGAGAATTGCAATTCATGGGGTATCTCCCACGAATTGTAATTCAGAAAGAAAAAATAGATGAAGTGACACTATTACCCTTGATTATTATTACTATTATTATTATTATACAAGGGCATTTTAGTCTTTATACCACTTCTTCCCTTCTCAATTTCAATAATTCTATTTCTTCCCACCAAACAACATAATTTAAATTCTTACTTTATTCTAATCTTATTCTTTTTCTATCAAAATACAATTTCTTTCCTTCTTAATTCATTCCTTCCAACCAAACAGCCAGTAAATGATGGTAGATATGAAGAGCTATCATTCTATGTGGGTGAGACTTGAGAGGTATGTTTTGCCACGGGTAAAACGGACACGTGTCTGCATGCCAGTGGGAAGGGGTTATAATCGTGGAAACAGCATTTATAGCATATAGGGTGATATGGTTCAGTTTTTTCTATCTATAAAATGCTGCGTGTACGCGTGGCTGTGCTCTGAAGAAGCATAAAAAACACTGCAATACAAGACCACAAGAGCATTGTACTACCAAAAATGGCTTCCAGGCCCGGCATCCTCACGGAATGGCCATGGACATGGCTGGGCAGCTTCAAGGTATTCATCATTTTCTACTTTCTTCATTAAAAAAGCATAAAGATTCAATCTTTATTATCACATCAGAACAATTCTCTGCAATGTACATTATATTACCTCTGTGTGTAACATGTACAGTTGAGCACTTTAGTAGTACTGCATCCTTAATACTACAAGGATAATGTTTGGTAGTATTTGGTTTGGGGATTTTCTTTTTGGTTTCTTGGTTAAAGGAAAGGAAATCATTCTTGGAATACGTGCATCATGTAGCCCATGTTCTTGCTCGGGTTTCTGGTTCTCAGTCTGGTTCGGGAGTTTGGAGTTCCTCGATCTCCTCCTTGTATTTGGCATATATATGCTTATTCATGGGGTTCAGTGGGGGCAACTCTAGTCGAGTTAGTTGGACAGTGGCTTGGTAATCACGAGGTTTTAAGCTGTCATTGGCCTTCTTGGTTTGAATAGGGTAACTATGGGTAACCTATACTGATTTACCTAATCTTTTGTCGACTGGGGTTACAAAGCAGGTTTCACCTTAGATGCATCTTTGGGTATTGGCCCGGCCCCTAAATCAAAGAATGGGGGTTAAGAAAATGAGGAATTAACAACATTATAGCACAAAACATTTAGTTTATTGGAAAAGTAGTTGGCAAGTTGCAGATGAGCTATCATGATCATTTAGTTTATTGCGAAAGTTTTCACCTTTGTGGAGTTATGGAGCAATATATACAATATGTGGCAATTAAGTAGAGACAGGATTTTGAAGCAAGAAGTGATAACATTAATGTTTTGTTTTGTTTTGTTTTGTTGTAGTATGTGGTGTTGGCTCCTTTTGTGGCTCATTCAACATACAAATACCTGACAGATTCCCCAAATGAGAGGGATCCTAACATCTTGCTGATTTTCCCCTTCTTGCTGATAAGAATGCTCCACAACCAGCTATGGATTTCGCTCTCGCGCTATCGAACAGCCAAAGGGGACAACAGGATTGTTGATAAAGGCATTGAGTTTGAGCAAGTTGACAGAGAAAGAAACTGGTAATCTGTCATTCTCTAATATAAATGCCTGCAAATTCTTGATTCTTGAACAATATATGTGGTTTTGGTTGCAGGGATGATCAGATCATTCTAAATGGTCTGTTATTCTACTGGGGTTACTATAAGTTACCCATCACTCATCATATGCCAATCTGGAGAACAGATGGGATTATACTTACTGCTTTGATTCATACCGGCCCTGTCGAGTTCCTCTACTACTGGCTCCACAGAGCCCTCCACCACCACATCCTCTACTCCCGCTACCACTCCCACCACCATTCCTCCATCGTCACCGAGCCCATCACATGTAAGTCATTTCATGGGTTTTCCCGTAACACTACTGAAAATTATGGAACTTCCGACCAATCAAGTTGAAACCAAAAAGTGGTCGGAAATAGCAACGTCTTTCTGGATACTAAAAGTGGTCGGAACAAGGCTTTCGACTTGATTTAAGATCACTTTCAGGTGGTCGGAAATTCCATGATTTACAATAGTGTAAATCAAAGTAGTCTGAGTCTAATTTTTAGCAGGAAGATGTGTATAACAACAAGTTTTTAGGTGTTATATTATATGTTCTTGAATCTATAATGACAGGCAAAATCTGCTGGTGCTGGTTCATATTTACATATGCTTATTATCACTACCATTTTACTATCAACATAAATGCAACACAGTGACTAAAGATCATATCAGATTCTTTTCAAGTACAAAACTTTCCAGCTAAAAAGTCCAAATAAATGATACGAAAATTGGGCACTCTGCAATTAAATGCTGCCACAGGGTAGATGGGGACTGTGGCATACTGTGCAGCTTCAATTTATAAAGTTTTTGTTCTTACTCACCTGCTTATAGGTCTCAATCACCCTCTTGAAATTAAGTCTGTTACATGGTAGATACGCAATAAATTCTTTCTTAGCTTGCACCAAAATGCAAGAAAAGGCTCATTACTATTCGTCGTCGTTTTAGGTGAAAATATAATGAAATGTTTGTGGGGGCATTGAAATGGAATTGCTAGGAAAGTAAAGATTTACAGAAAACGTTATTATGAGCTCCATAATTGACAGATACTACAATGTAATAGAGTCAGTAGCATTCAAAAAAAAATTGACAATTCTTCCATTTTTTGCAGAATGGCAATGAACTAATTAAGAGCTTTGTTGTTTTTGCAGCTGTGATCCATCCATTTGCAGAACACATTGCATATTTTGTACTCTTTGCCATTCCACTTCTCACAACTGTTTTCACCGGGACTGCCTCCGTTGTGTCGTTTAGTCTTTACATCTTATACATTGATGTGATGAACAACATGGGGCATTGCAACTTTGAGCTAATCCCCAGCTGGCTGTTTTCCATTTTTCCACCTCTCAAGTACTTGATGTATACACCTTCGTAAGTTGTCTCACATCCCATGTTACACCACACTACTGTACTTTCCCTGTTATAATGCAGTTTAGGTATATATATATCTGTCTGAGGTTGCCTTGACAGCTAGCATATATGTGTGTAGTAATGGCACTATGAGATAGTGTCATTATTATGAGCAACAAAATGCAGGTAAAAGGAATTTAAGAAGTGCCCTCGGGTGGTTCCTGGGTAGTAACTTGTACCCGAGGACGCAAGATCAAGTCTTGGCAGTTACAGTGTGGGAATTTCATCACCCTCTTGTAGGGTGGCTTTTGTTCATACTAGACGCTGGTCCTCCCACTTAATGACCTAAATAATCGTTGAGTTACTCTGATTTAACTTCTGTACAATTCCTGTAGGACCGGGGTGTGAGGGCGAGAGATTTTGTCTTTTTCATTCGAAGAAATTTAAGAAAAGGAAAAAAGTGAATTTAAGGCACTTCAATTCCATTGCCTACACTAGCTGACTCTACCCTCATCTAGTACAATTTCATTATCCAGGGTAGCTGAATCTACCCTCACCTACTACATGCTAATTAATTTAAGGGAATAAGGGTCAAATAGGTCACCCTAACTAAAGTGCAATTAGACTATCAAACTTAAAAAAGATGCAATTAGATCCCTAAATAACATAAAATTATGTAATTAGGTCCAAAATGACCTGTTTAATTACCTGAAATTTTAAGTTACCGATTTTAAAGATAAATTTTAAAACTAATTTTAAATAAAATAATTTATTTTAAAAAAAAAAAAAAAAAAAAAACTAAACCTGCCGGAGACCATGGAGATGAAGGTCTCTTTGTCTCCATGGCCGGAGACCATCCGGAACCTTCGTCTCCGGCCATGGAAACAAATCGTCTCCAGCAGGTTTTAGTTTTTTTTTTTTTTTTTTTTAGTTTTTTTTTTTTTAATTAATTATTTTATTTAAAATTAGTAACCTACAATTTCAGGTAAACAGGTCATTTTGGACTTAATTGCATAATTTTGTGTTGTTCAGAAACCCAATTGCACATTTTTTGAGTACGGTGACCTAATTGCACTTTGGTCTGCAGTTGGGTGTCTATTTGACCCTTAAAACAGCAGAAGCAGATGCCCCCAATAAGGTTGAAGATGGTGAATTGGTCTAGGATTTATTTATGAATATTTTTTTATTTTTATTTTTTAAGTAACGTGGGAAATCTGCAATCACTATCTGAGAGTGTGCATTGGATAAATCTCGCCTTGTGACCCTAACCAACAAAAGACCAGAGGTAAACCAGCCTAAGTTGTCTATAACTGACCAGCTCAAACCAAGAAGGCCAATAGACCGCTCCCGTTGGGAGTCGAATTTGTAACCTTATGAAATTTTGGTTACTTCTAATCTGTTTCAAGAACTGAAAATTAAACCAACTAACTTTAAACTTGATGAAACAGGTACCATTCTCTGCACCACACTCAATTCAGAACAAACTATGCACTCTTCATGCCAATGTATGATTACATCTACAACACCATGGACATGTCTTCAGACACATTGTACCAGAAATCTCTGCAGAGAGAGGGTGATTCTCCTGATGTGGTGCATCTAACTCACCTCATTTCCCCAGAGTCCATCTACCATCTCAGGATAGGCTTTGCATCTCTGGCCTCAAATCCTCAGTCCTCCAAGTGGTACTTATGGCTAATGTGGCCTGTCACAGTTTGGTCTATGATGATCACTTGGATTTATGGCCACACCTTTATTGTTGAGAGAAATGTATTCAAGAATCTCAAGCTACAAACTTGGGCTATCCCCAAGTATCGCGTTCAAGTAAGAACCAATCTTAAGTTGTTTATCATACCATTATTAGTACACATCTCACTGCTGGAAATTATGGAATTTCCGACCACCTGAAAGTGATCTTAAATCAAGTTGAAAGCAAAAAGTGATCGGAAATAGCAATAAAAGTTTTTCCGGATACCAAAAGTGGTCAGAGACTTTCGACTTGATTTAAGATCACTTTCAGGTGGTCGGAAATTTCATAATTTCCAGTAGTGTCGGCACTGTAGACTTTCCCCTACTTCATATATCTTACTACCAATTGCAATTTTGCAGTACTTCATGCAATGGCAAAGAGAGGCAATTGACAAGTTGATTGAGGAAGCCATATTAGAAGCTGAGGACAAAGGTGTCAAGGTCTTAAGCCTTGGGCTATTGAATCAGGCAAGATTGAAACTTGATCTGGTGCAATCACAGCCAAGTTGGTTAGGCTGTTGGCTTAATTGTCACGAAGTTTTAAGTTCAACTCCAATAGAAACAGACTTATTGACGTTCTTGGTTTGATCGAACCAGTCAGCTATGAACAATCTAAGTTGGTTTACCTTTATTTGCAGGAGGAGTTGAATAAGAAGAGTGATGAGCTTTTCATAAGAAAGAACCCAGAGCTAAAAGTGAAGGTGGTGGATGGAAGTAGTCTAGCAGTTGCAGTGGTCCTCAACTCCATTCCTAAAGGAACAACTCAAGTTGTGCTTAGAGGCAACCTGTCTAAGGTTGCCTGTTCTATTGCCCTTGCATTATGCCAACAAGGAACCCAGGTATCTATATATCCTTAGAATCTATCTAACATGTGAAAATAATGTTTGTTAACAGTAATTTATTTCTACTTTTTTTCTCTGGTTTTATAGGTTGCTGTATTGGGTGAGGATGAGTATAAGAGGCTCAAGGCAAGGCTTAACCCAGAGGCAGCTACTAACTTGGTCCTTACAAAAACTTATTCTGCAAAGGTAACGTGTGGGATTCGAACTTAAAACTTTGAATCTGCTTGAAAATGGAGTAATAAAGGTTTCTTGATCATGGAATATAATATAACTCTTTTCTGCAGACATGGCTAGTTGGGGATGGATTGAGTGCAGATGATCAGATGAAAGCACCAAAAGGAACATTCTTCATTCCCTTCTCTCAGTTCCCTCCAAAGAAAGTGCGCAAAGATTGTCTCTACTTCAACACACCTGCCATGATTGTGCCTAAACACCTCGAGAACTTGGACTCTTGTGAGGTTAGACATGAATACATACATTATATACACTACTGGAAATTATGAAATTTCCGACCACCTGAAAGTGATCGCAAAAAGTGGTCGAAAATAGCAACAAAGGTTTTTCCGGATACCAAAAGTGATCAGAACAAGGTTTCAACTTGATTTAAGATCACTTTCAGGTGGTCGGAAATTCCATAATTTCCAACAGTAATTTCTCCACAAAAATATACAATTTCTCCTGTTAATAAATGCACCCTTCACTTCCCACAACTCCAGAAGCTAGCCTGGAGGTTAACTATTATATATATATATGAGGCAAGAACTGATAGAATCATATATTTCAATTTTTCAGAATTGGCTGCCAAGAAGAGTGATGAGTGCATGGAGAGTTGCAGGGATTTTGCATGGTGTGGAGGGGTGGAATGTGAACGAGTGTGGGAACGCCATGTTTGACATTGGGAAAATCTGGGAAGCTAGTCTTCGCCATGGCTTTCGTCCCTTCACAGTGTCTGCAGCTACTGAGCCAAATTAAAGACCTAATTAATTAATATTAAGAACAGCAATATATATATTAAGTATTTATATCTATAGTTTGGGTCTTTGAAATGGCATGAAACACTATGTATGTCGTGTGTGTTTTTGTATTCATCAGAATGTGATGATCATGGCTTAGCTTCCTCTATTTGCAAAAGAGATGCACCTATCTATCTAGCTACCTTATTAGTTATTATCAAATGGTTTTCTTCACTTTTGCATGGCACTGATAACCTTTAATCTTAATGTAATTGATGGGTTGGAGACTTTTGGAGGTATCGAGTTGTCCTTTTTCGAGAAAATTAAAGAACAAAAAACTCCAAAGAATTTTAAGAAGAGAAGAGAGAACAATAATTCTATTTCATTGCCATCCTGAACTCATTATTACATCTATTTAAATAGCAAAATAAATAACCAAAATAAACTAAAATGCCGGGGCCGGTAAGAAACTAACACTTATTGCTCATAGCAAAGTCAAAAACGTTCAGGTAATTTGCGCACTCTTTGCGTGCCTTCTATTAACAAGTTGTTGCTCATTCTTTTGGGGTTAGAAAATTTCGAATTAACATCCACTTAGGGCAGCCACCGGCGGTCTACAATTGTATGAAATAATAATAATAATAATAATAATAATAAGTACAGGAAAAAGTTAAAAATAAAAATTAAAAACAAGAGACATGTGTCAATATTAAAAAGTACCAATGTGTTAAACAGGTAATTTTGAACATAATTGAACATTTTAATAGATTTAAGGTTGGACTCAAGTACACTGTCTGTTTGACTAAAAGGACTGATTTGACATTGGATTAAAATGCTTCATAGTGGAGTAATTCATTATACACATGCCAATTTTCAATTGTCGATGATATATCATTGATTATATGTTGATGTACAACTTGGATGCTTCGCCGGCGGTGGAGGTTGGCGTGTTTGCTGCTGCGAAAAGAAGGCGGGAAACAATGGCGGATGGGGTTGGCATTGTTGGTGGATCTGAGGTTGGCGATGTTTCTATGATCGATGCTTTAAAAAACTTGCTTAAGGCGGGATCTCGTCTCTAGACCTGCCCATCTCTATGAGTACGTTAAGTTGGAACTGTCGTGACTTAAGCAATTCATGTACAATTTGCAAGTTAGTAGACATGGTGTCTCGTAAGAAGTTTAATTTCGTGTTTTTGATGGAATCCAAGGTGGGGTAGGTACATGTTGAGCGCCTCAGTCTTAAGCTTGGTTTCGAAGGTATGTTCTATGTTGACAGTATTGGTTTAAGTGGTGGCTTGGCGTTGCTATAAAAGGAAGAACACGGCCATGTTATTGAGTTATTCTAAAAATCATGTGGATGTGGAAGTCAACCTATCAGGGTTGCCATCTTGGCGTATGATCAGAGGCGGACCCACAGTGGGGGCAACTGCCCCACCCCCACCCCCACCCCCACCCCATACTATATATAGTGTATGTATAGGTCCTTATATAGATAATAATCGTTTATATATTAAATATACCAAATTGTGAACAAAAGCTAATCTAGCTTAGATGGTAAGGCTACTTATTCCTATATGAATAGGCTAGGGTTTGAAACTTGCGAAGCACTTATGTTTGCTTTTAAATTCTAATTGTTTTTTTTTTTTTTTTTTTTTTTTTTTTTTTTTTTTTTTTTTTGTAACATTGTGACTACTTTTCTATTTTATTTTTACTTTTTAATATTAATAGTGTGATGAGTAATTTATAATGTGTTTTCCATTCGAACTATTTTATCTAATTAATTATGTTTTATATTTTGTTTTAAATATTTTTTATTGTGATGTATTTTAAGTTTTCATCTTTATTTAATACTAGGTTTCTAAGTGTTTTATTTATTTTTTTTCAAAATATCTCGTTAGTAAAATTCTCGCCCCCACTAGAGAAGATTTATAGGTCTGCCACTGCGTATGATTGGCTTCTATGGTTTCCCGAAACGCAGTAAAAGGAAGGAGTCTTGGGACTTGCTTAGGTCTCTTACTCCTCGATCCCCGCTTCTGTGGGTAGCTATAGGGGACTTTAATGGCCTCCTGTTTCAGCATGAGAAGCATGGTAGGATCCCTCACCCTGAGAGTCTTCTTCGCGGTTTTGGGGAGTCTTTGGATGAGTGTGATTTGATTCAGTTGCCTACGGAGAGTTACCCTTTCACGTGGGAGAGAGGGAGAGGTCCGAAGGCGTGGTTAGAAGAGAGGTTGGATAGTGTACTTGCTAGTGAGAATTGGTGCAACACATTAATTAGTAGGTGCTAGGTTGGTAAACATTCTAACACGTTCCTCGGATCATTCGGCTCTGTTCCTTGGGATCAGTGATTTGTGGGATAGGAGTGGTAGATCAAAGCGGGGTTTTCGTTTTGAGATGACATGGTTACTTGATGAGGGATGGCGTGGGGTGGTGGAGAAAGCTTGGCAGGATGGGAAGCCGAGAAAGGAGAGAAGTTGATGGACTGTCTACAGATCTGTGGGGATCGGCTCTTGAGATGGGGTGGGGATAGGTTCCATACGTTTGGGACAGATAAAGAATCTTCACAAGGAACATCTTAATTAAATTAAAGGGTTGTCTGGACTATGCTTCATTAGCAGAGTTTCAAAGGCTTGAAACTCAGTTGTGTCGCTTAAAAGCTCATGAAGATGTATTCTAGAAGCAAAGGGCTAAACAACACTGACTATAGGGCCAATACTAAATTCTTTCACATGTATGGTTTGCTCGTAAAAAGAAAAATACTTTTACTAGACTTAAAAAAAGGATGACTCTGGTGATTGGGTGGAAGGTGTTGCTTTGAATTCTATTATCTTAAATTATTATGAAGGCATTTTTAAATCCTATAATTTTGATTTATTTTTTAGAAATAAAAAATAAAATAGAAAAAACACGCGGATGCCTAGGCGCCGATTAATCGTCATCTAGGCGTTCATCGAGCGCCTAACGATTATTTCAACCATGTTAAAACTACACAATTTAGGACCATGGTTCACCTTGATCCATGACATAACAATTGTTAGACAGATGGACAGTTGGACAATACATGTACAATAATAATAATAATAATAATAATAATAATAATAATAATAATAATTCATGTTGACCTCAACTCAAATTAAAAAAAGTTGATGGACTTGTTACATGTAAGACATAATACAGGTTTCACGATAACTCTGCATTTCTAATTGTACCAAATGTTTTTTTTTTTTTTGAGAATTGTACCAAATTCTTTTAAAATCAATTAATCACAAACTTTACAATTTTCAATTTGTAACCATCACGGAATAGTTCTATTTTTAATGAAGTGTTACAAATGGAAAATAAAAGTACTTGCTACACAAAAATTTGTTCCTCTGTCAAGCTAGTTCAGACAATTTGGTCCGTCCTGTCCCTGGCCCAATGAATTGAACCAGACAAAAGCTTTCGAGAACAGCTCAACATAATGAAGCTGTAGCTGGCCCAAATTGCAATTTCCCCCCAAAAAAGTAAATATTCTCAATCCACGCTAAAAATAGGAAAATGTTATATGTACTCCTATTTTCTACTCTTAATTTTTATTTTCACACATAAAATTTTGATGTAGACACTTATATTGTGATCCACATGAAAAAAAAATGGTTTATCAAAATCAGTAACTTCAGGGAGTAAAATTGAGGGAATAAGATTTGGGAGTATATGTAGTAGAACTCCTAAAAATAATACTGATCAAATAAGTCATTCAATTACATGTGATAGTACAATATATTTATTTGATATAAAAAAAAATTGTAAATAGATTCCTAAATTAACTAATTTCGTGTGATTCGTCTAATTTGCTAGTAAAACCTTTTACTACCAAGTAACTAAGCGTCACATGAAATTTTTTAAAAATAGATTGGTATGTCTTAACATGGGAGATAAAGAATATTTCTTCATCTCGGCCTTGACAAAAAGAAAGGCTCTTCATCTCCATGATAAACTATGAGGGGACGGAGGGATGTTATTTATTTAAAATTATTAAAATATATTTAAAAATTAATATTTGTACAAGTAACTTCACTTAACGCTTGATAACAAGATAGTAAAGAGTTTTACCAGCAAATTAGACAAGTTCCACAAAATTGGTTAATATAAATATTCAATTACATTATTGGTACAATTCAATATTCAATATTCAATATTCAATATACATATATAAAGCATTATTCCTAGAAAGAATTTATGTATGGGTGCTCATCACCACCAACCATGCCATAAATTTTTCCTTATTAGGTGTTGTTGTTTGGGAACAAATTTTTCCTTATTAGGTGTTGTTGTTTGGGAACAATTTTTCCTTATTTAGTCTCTCATTTATGGGACTGAGGGACAGGACCACTTCTAAAAACAAGTGCCAGATTCAATGCGATCTATATCTTCTTACCCACTAATGTATATATAGAAAAAGAAAATATTAATATATTTTTTTTTTACCTTAATTTATAATATTGTCAAATTTAATCTCATTTTATATAATTCACCTCATTGCTACTAACTATATAAGTAAATTTAATTTGTAAATTTTAAATGACATTTTATATATGATAGGGAATGATCATTAAATCCATTCAATAATGATAATGATCAAATCTCAGAATCCGAATACAACAGTAATATAGGGAAAATGGTTAAATTAAATAAGTCCCTAAACTTTAACAAAAAGTTAATTGAGCCCTTATATTTTTAGAAGTTGAAATTAAACTCACAAACATGTTATTTTAGAGCAATGAAACCCACTAACCTGTTGGTGATCTGTAATTGCATGTCAATTAAGGTTCCAGCCAACTCCGGAAAATATCCGACCAAATTTTGGCGACCTATGGCAACCAGCGACCGTTGACGGTTGCCAATCGCGTTCTGCCATTGAAGGCAACCAAGTTCGTCGCCTTCTCCGACACTGGAGAAGGAGATCTACTTGGTTGCCTTCTCCGGTAGAACGCGAGCGGAAACTGTCAACAGTTGCCAGTTGCTAGTATTTAACATAGGTCGCCAGAATTTGATCTGGTGTTTGCCGGAGTTGGCTGGAACCCTAGCTAATTGATATGTAATTACAGGTCACCAACAGGTTAGTGGGTTTCATTGTTCCAAAATAGTATGTGTATGAGTCTAATTGCAACTTCTAAAAATTTAAGGGCCTAATTATTGACTTTTTAGGTAAAATTTAGGAAATTATTTGATCATTTTCCCTATAATGTATGGTAGAAA